AAAAAAAAAAAAAAAACGAAACGAGATATGCCCAATGAGAATGAATCTTCCTCGATAAAGAGGAAGGAAGATTCATTTTCGTGAGAGAGAGAGAGAGAGGGTGTCAACCAGTGTCTGACGCCGAGTTTGGTGCACCAAACTCGGCGTCAGACACTGGCTGACGCCCTCTCTCTCTCTCTCTCTCTCTCTCTCTCTCTCTCTCGTAGAAACGAGAATGAATCTTTCGCGTTATTGTGGAAGATTCATTCTCGTTTCTATGAGAGAGAGAGAGAGAGAGAGAGAGAGAGAGAGAGAGAGAGACATTCTCTTCTCTCTCTCTCTCTCTCTCTCTCTCTCTCTCTCACAAAGCCAAGTCGAAATGCGAATAAATCTTCCACGTTCGAAAGATTTATTCGCATTTCGACCTTGGCTTTGTGTGTGAGAGAGAGGGTGTCAGCCAGTGTCTGACGCTGAGTTTGGTACACTGGCTGACGCCCTCTCTCTCTCTCTCTTTCTCTCTCTCTCGTTCTTCCCCCCCTTCCCCCGCCCCGCCGCGCCTTTTTGTTTCAAGCTGTCGCTGCACATTTTCGTCGTCGTTTTTTTTTTTTTTTGGGGGGCCCTGTTTTTTGGAGACTACCGGTCGCACGCCGGTGGGTACCCCGCGCGACGAGGCGCGTATACGGCCGCGTCGATTTCTTCAAGCAGGGAGAGGTAGTGGTGGTTTAACGTGGTTCATTCCTCTTCTTTTCTTCCCTATCCCTCTCATCGTCTATGCCGATGAAGAAGGGGGGGATCTTAAGATGCGTCGTTAGATTGACGCAAGAAGGCAAACACAAAAGGCCTTCTCCGACCAACTGCTTGGTGAGATATACGGTGTTGGTCCAGCAGCTGAACAACACGTTCACGGACATTTTAACCTGCGAGCTGCAGAGGGAGAACTTGAAGCCGCGAAAACTGGTGTTGAGATGCTGGAAACCGGTCAGCGAGTCGAGGAACTCGTTAAACAAGGGCGTAATGCTCTTGATCGGTTTGTCGCTGAGCAGTTTGAAAAAATGGACCAAAAAGGAAAGGAAGAAAGAAGAAAGCGAGGAGAAAAATGAATTATCCGTAGAGATAATGGAGGAAAATATCAGACAATTTGAGAAATCTCTAGCAGATGAAAGAAGAAAGATAGAAGAATATTGGAGGAGAAAAGAGGCAAGAGAACATCAAGAGAAAATGTTAGAGGAAATGAGAGAACGATTTCACTTTGAGGAAGTCGAGACTGATCTTTCGTCTGTATTGCAATCTATCATGGCTTACCTTATTCACCTCGAGAAGAAGATAGGCACTAACATCGTCTCATTAGAAACTATGATGAGACTGATGAAAGGTAAGGATAAGTTGAGTGTTGAGGAGGAGACGAAGGGGGAAGCAGAAAGGAAACCACCCCAAGAGAAACTCGTGAAAAATGCAATATGGAAAGTGACACCAGACAAACCCGGACCCTCGAAGAAAGAACTTGAGGAACCGGCAGAGAAAAAGGAAGCACCCACCGAAAAGAAAGAAGAACCAGTGAAAGACGCCGAAAAACCGAAGAAGAAAGAAAAGGTCAAAATGAAATTGCCATTCACATACAACAACAAGAAAGATGAAAACTTGTTGTTGTGGATTGTAGAAATTCAGACTTACTGTAATATTGCACCCGTCGAGCCTAAGAGCCAGGTTGCTCTTTCCACGTCGTGTCTGGGAGGAGTGGCTAAGGAATGAGTGTTGTGTGAGGCTAATGCTGCTGGCTTCGAAGATATAGGTGAGTGGGCCAAGAAGCTGACGTTGAGGCAATTTCTTCAAAATATTAAGGAGAGATTCCTCGACGTTGAGGCAGTTTCTCCAGAAAATTAACGAGAGATTCCTTGACAAGACCACGACTGACAAAGCTTTCGATGAACTCTCCACGATAGGTCAAAAACGTTGGATTTTTGTTGATGCCTTGTCGCGTGAGGTTGATCGTCTTCTACAGGTACCTGGATTGAACCTGGATGATCTACTCACATGCCTTGCTCGAGCCCATTCGTAGACAACTCATGGCCGAATCAAAGTCTGATAAGTATAATTATTGGCAGTTTCATGATCTTGCTCTCCAACGAGAGGAGATGACCGCACAAGTCAAAGGTACGCACGCTTCGGTAGTGAAGTCAGGACCGGTTGGTGGGTACGGTAAGTGGGTCCTCTGGCGGCAAAAGCGTCGGGACCATATGCTTGTTGTATTTGATGACGAAATTGTAGAAAAGCTACCCCTTGATGAGTCTAAGGGAGGAGTAGCTAGTGGCGGCAGTGAGTCTGGGAAGGGTGACGTCACTGCTGTAATGGCCAACAAGGGAGGCCAGACCCAGTGGAAGAAGAAGAAGAGGCCACGCTCGTTTCCCAGCATCCCGGCATTGCATTCGGGAGGCCTTGGGAGAAAATGGGAATGACTTGCGAGGAATGTCAGTCCAAAATGGACAACCGCCAGTGCCTCAAATGTGGGACCGTTGGGCATGTGATAGCTTGGTGCCCACTAATCCGTAACCCAAAAGCGAGCCGCCAGTAGGAGCAGCATCTGCTCCTACTGAGTCGAAGGGTTTAGTCAAAGATAAAGGTAAGGCGCCAACAACCCCTTCTAACCCCTCAACTCGCAACGCAGAGAATGACTCTTCTTCTGCCCATCATCCAGAACACCCTGACACTGTGCTTTGTTCTGTCTTACTGGACGATTCTCTTGATGAAATCGATAATGAACTTATAGCACTTCAGAGTTCGTGGGCGAAGAAAGCTAAGGGTGAGTTGATGATCGCAGATATTGGGATTGTGCACACGCGAGTAGGTGCCCTGTTAGATCCGGGATCGACGCGATCTTACATCTCGGAGAAGGCAACTCGAAAATTGCATCTGGGAATGAAGGTAAAATACTTACCTCGACCTATCACGTTTATGCTGGCCGACAAGAGTACGAGCATTGTCTCTCAATATGTCGATCGTGTCAAGTGTCATTTCAGGACCAAGGAAGGAAATAATATCTTAGACGAGATATCCTTCCTAATAGAAAATAACTTTCCTTACACGAGATATCCTTCCTAATAGAAAATAACCTGGCATTTGACATGATTCTGAAGTCGACCCAGAGGTAATGTTTAAAGATAAAATTGTCAAACTCAAGGACGAGAAGTCCGAACTATGCGTTATAAAGTTGTACCATTGGTCTGGCTCTAACTCCGCCCTATCTTTTTGTTGTATGAGTTACCCAACCTTTCGTTTGATGGTAGTAAGGAAGAAGTTGGATCAGGAGGTGATTATGGTGCTTGTCAAGCGAGTTGTTGAGTGTTCCTCATCCTATCCACCTTTTATCGAAAAACCTCTCGATGAGTACAAGGACTTGCAGACTGAACCGACGGGAATCACTGAGCGTGCTATTAAGCATACGATCGAGATCATTCTCGGAAGCAAGATTTCGAAGGGTCCCATCCGAATGTCTCCTAGGGAACTTGAGGAACTAAACAAGCAACTGCAAGAACTTACTGACAAAGGATGGATTCGCCCTAGCTCATCTCCTTATGGTGCGCCTGTCTTATCCATGCCCAAAAATTAAGGTGAACTTTGTTTATGTATAAATTATCGTGGGTTGAACTCTGTCGCTGTGAAAAACGTGGAACCACTTCCGCGCATTGACAACCAGTTGGACCAGTTGCAAGGCTGCAGGTACTTTAGTAAAGATTGATCGAAAGTCAGGGTACCACCAAATCGAGGTGGCTCATGAAGATCAACAACATAAGACGGCTTTCCGAAACAGATATGGTCACTACGAGTTCATGGTTATGCCTTTCGGTTTGACCAATGCACCTACGACCTTCCAAAGGTCAATCAACGAGTTATTTCGTCAATGGCTCGATCAATTCGTAGTAGCCTATCTCAATGGCATTCTAGTGTATAGTAAGGCACTAGAAGATCACGAGAAACACCTACGAATGGTTTTGCAGAAGTTGCGCGAAGGCAACTTCAAATTGAATCCGAAAAAGTTTGAGTTTGCTAAGCCTGAAGTTTTGTACTTGGGGCATATAGTGAACGAGGAAGGACTAAGGCCGGAAGAAAAAAAGATTACAGCAATCCGAGATTGGTCACAACCTAAGACTATAACTGAGTTAAGATCTTTCCTAGGTCTTGCCAGCTACTACAGGAAGTTCGTCAGAAACTTCTTTTTGATAGCGGCTCCTATGAGAAGGAAAAACCTTGGTTGTGGGACAAAGATTGTGAGTCATTGTTTTGAAAATTGAAGCATGTTCTGACTCACTACCCTATCTTAAAGATTGTTGACCTCTTCCTTTCATCGTCACGACTGACGCAAGTGAGTATGGGATTGGGGTTGTGCTACGGCAAGACGACGGTAAGGGATATAGACCTATCGAGTTTATGTCCAGAACACTTCCGTCAGAAAAAGTGGCCAACTCCACTTATGAAAGGGAGTTATATGCCTTAGATGCTGCACTAGATACTTAGAAACATTACCTGTTACGGCATTTCACTGTCTATTCTGACCACTCTACTGTGAAGTGGATAAAAATTCAGCCTAGATTCTCTGACAATGATAAGATGGTCCGCTTTTCTTGATACCTTTGACGTTGAGGTGAAAACAATCAAAGGTAAGTCTAACGTGGTTGTGGGTGCCTTGTCCAGATGTGCAGATTTCTTTGGAACCATTGTCTCCTACCTCGATATCGGGAATGACCTAAAAGAACAGATCTGCAAGGGTTATGGGAGTGATTCTATCTGGAGTCCTATCATTGAGACTCTACGAAAAAACCCTGAGTTGCTCCGGAATGTCGAATGACTGACGGCTTACTCTTCTTCTTGGATAAAACCGAAGAAAGATCGTGTGTTTCTCACCAAGAACCAATCAAGAGCTTAATCATTGGGGAATGTCATGATGTTGAAGGTCACTTTGGTTTTAAGAAGACGTATGCCGATGTCCGAGAACGGTTTGAATGGAAAGGAATGAAGGAAGATGTACTAACGTATGTGCCGACTTGTCTTGTTTGTCAGAGGAACAAGCCCACATATGAGAATCCGCTGGGACTATTGAGACCACTGCTTGTACCAAGTGAGCCAGGTGAGTCTATATCTATCGATTTCATGAGTCTCACCAAGAGTCGAAATGACAACAGTCAAATAATGGTCATCGTAGACCGATTCTCGAAGTATGCTATGTTTATTCCTTTGTTTGTGGAAGCTAGAACCGAACTTGTCATTCAAAAGTTTCAAATGCGATGGGTCTCTGAATATGAATTCTCGAAAAGCATCGTCTCAGACAAAGATTTTCGGTTCACTAGTTTACAATGGCAAAAGTTGATGGAAGTCTATGGGACCAGGTTGACCATGTTGTCAGGCAGACATCCTGAAACGAATGGCCAAACTGAACAAATGAATCGTCTTTGCCAACAACTATTGCGAATGTATGTCCGACCTGATCAGATAGATTGGGATGAAAACTTGCCTAAAATTGTTAGTGCTTATAATAACAGTATACATACTATTATAGGTAGAACACCTATGCACTACACAAAGGATGAAAGCTCAGGCGTCCCTTTGACGCATTGACAAGGGACCAAATTCAGAGGTACCCCCAAGTACGTGTGAATTCGCAATTTTGTATGAAGAAGACATTAAGAAGGTGAAGGAAAACATACAGAAAGCCCAACTGCAAATAATTGAATAAGCCGATAAACATCATCGTCCTTCACAATTTCAAGAAGAAGATCTTGTTTGGGTTAAGTCTAAAGAGTTTTCCTTAGAAGAAAATGTGTCACAGAAACTGCTACCTGTCTACTGTAGCCCCTGGGAAGTTCTCAAAGTGATTGGAGATGCAGGCGGACCTTCCTACTGCATCGATGTACCTCCACACCTAAGGACATACCCTATCTTCCACGCGTCTAAGTTCCTGCCCTATGTAGAAGGTGATAACTATCCAAATAGGCCATCTATGTTTCCACCCTTTATGAACGGAGGTTATGAAGTTGAAAAGATACTGGAACATGGCTATTTTTCTAGAGGTGGCAGAGGAAGACCTCAAAAGCAGTATAAGGTAAAGTCCCAACCTCCATCTGAAGCTAGATGGTTTAGTAGGAAAGAACCCCTACCTACTGCTCCTGACATTGTTGCTGCATATGAACGTGGGTTAAGTGAGAATTAATGTATTTTCTTCAATGGAACTCAAAAAATGGGTCGGCATGAATGCAATAACCCATGCCATATGTCTTGTGGAAATCTGAGGGCCAACTTGGCCGCCCTCAGCCCAAACCAAAACAGGGAAAAAAGACCCAACACGATTCAGGGCCTGGACGTGTGACAATTGAGTTTCGTCAACTGTCGTGAGACCAACAGTCAAAGTCCAAAGGTACCCCGCCCAGACCGCCGCTCAAGCACACACACTTGTTTGTATGCAGGTACCCAGACAACATCAGGACCAAGGGGAAATTTGCAACTGTACACAATCGGGGCCCTCAACTGTGAGGCAATCTGGACGACTGAGGGAACAGGACTCGAGGCCAGACAGCCTCATCAAATGCTACTTGAAAGCTGCCCTCAAGGTGGTCAACATTCAGTCTTGCTATGCTGCTTGGACGCTGGCTTGACTTCGACCAGACGTTGGCGAGACGCTGGCTGGACGTCAGCACTGTGGGCGACAACGATAGCATGCTGGCGCTTTTTGCATTGTGTGCCAGACATGCTGAGGTGGCCTTGTCGGTGCGAATACCCTTACAAGGGTATCCGCCCTGTTTTTTGCAGGCGACAGAAAATAAGTTTGGTTTAAAGTTCAAATATACCACGCAAGGCGGGACTGTGTCCGTGATTTACATTGACTGGATGGCTGGCTAGTTTAAAGTGTGTGTGGGCGCGTGGACTTGAGGCGCGCGTGATCTTTTTATTTTTTTGTTGACGATTGAAGAGTCAGTGCGATCGCCAGCCTAATTTTTATTTCTGATTAAACTAAGATTAAAAGGATTATGCCTCTAGATTGGTGCGCTTGCTTGTGATTTACGTGTACGTGCGGAGGATGGTGTCGACAATAATGTGATTTTGAAAACGTTTCGGTAGATCTGCGCGATGCGCACTATTAGTTTATTTAGGTGTCTGTTAGAGCTAGACCCAACCTTGGGCGTAGCACTAGCGGTTACAGCATCGGATTTTCATCAGAGAGGTTCAAGGATTGAGGCAGAGCGGCGACGACACAGGAATATCGGAGTAGCGTGTAGGGCAGTGGGGCTATCCCCCTTGGTTTTTGCCGTCGACGGCATCGAAACGGTGCAAGCGTTTTCTTTTCCCTCGTTCGTCATATTCTGACACTCTAAAAATTTCCTAAATATCTTATTATTTATTGTTATTGTATATTATTTTTATGATTCGGCGTTCTTTAAATCAAGACATGACGCCGGATTTAAAGACTGGCAACAGGCGAGGACCTTGAGCACGATGAGTTCCTTGCGTGTTTGGGATGTTGGTGAAGATCCTTGGCCCCACAAACTTAAGATGCGGGTCGGGGAAGACGTGCTTGTGAGCGGGCAGGTGGTTAGCCCACGAAGCGGATGGAACCTGAGCGGCGGGAGTTGCCGCGGGTATATCGTCCGCCAACCATGATTAGTTGTGGGCGTGTGCATGCCCGTTGGGACCATAGAAGATATCGGACCGTGCCCCGGGCACTGCGGGGAGGCTGCTGCAGCAGCCACCATGGAAACCTTTTTCCGTTTCGGTCTTCAAAGTTCTCATTTGAACGTTCGTTACTACTACCGGAAGCAGCGCCTGGCCCAGTCCACCAGGGCCCATGCTAGGCCTGCAGCAGGCCGCACCACGACAGGCTATTTGGGAGGGAACTGGTCATAGGGGGCGGGCCGAAGGACATTGAGGAGAGAGCCTCCTCACAACAAGACCGCTGTGTAGATCATTCATCAAACGAGATATAGGGTGGAAACATGGGGACCGCCTGTAGGGCCGGCACATCGGGGCGGTGGGCCTGTAGGGCCATAGTAGCCGAATTCCTTTAAAACTTCCTCAGGATGGTCGGAGCTTCAGAACAACGTCGAGAGGTGACTGTGGGGGCTGCCGATGCTAGGTCAGTTGCTGCAGAGTGATTGCTGTTGGGCGCCATGCAAATTGAAGGAGCGAGAAGGTGTGCCGAAGGAGTGAGGGAGCAGGCGTAGAAAGGAGAAGAGGTGGAGTAACTGGGACGCTCGGGCAAGTAGGATCGGACCACTGTGCCAGGTAGGCGTTGCACTAGCAGTAGCGGGTGAGGCGAGGCAACGGGGCGACGGGCGCTAAGGCAATGAAGCGGGGCAGCGAAGAGGGTGGATGAACCCAGACGGGAAAGTGCGCCGGATGCATGCAGGGCAAAGAAGAGCGCAGCAATAAAGGGAACAACTATGTCGGGGCGAGAGGAAAGTGACTCGCCCGTTGTAGGGCCAAATTGCGGTAGACTTTCGAGCCTTGGTCGACCCCACCGCGGGTCCCATTTGGCTCGGCCCGCCCACGCTCATGCTAAGGGCGAGGGCCGTTCGTCCTAGGGTCACCCCCACTTAGTGCTTTGAGATGGATGGGGGCGGGCCATTGCACGAGAGAGCTTTGACATTGGGGATGTAGCTCAGCCCTCACGCCAGGTGGTAGTCTCTGTGGTCATTCCGCAAATGCTGAGTTTTTTTTTTTCCCTTGGTTGTGTTCTCAAGCAAATGCTCCTTCCAATACGCAGGTAGTCCAGGGGTTCTTTGGGAGTTCTTCTTCTCTTGTGCGCAGGCAAAGCGTCATCCTTAGGCCACACACCATTTCCCTAAGCACAATCAATCCTACGGCGTCATCGAGGTGCGGGAACGCCGTCTTCCCCCTCGCCTCTACGCACTCCTCGTGTCTCATACATTTCATCCATCGTCATTGGAGCAGGCCCCTTAGTCCTTTCGGGGCCTTCACATGCGTGCACAGGCTATTTCACAGTCCGATCACCAAAAAGCCTCATTCCTTTCTTTTATTCGCATTCCAAGTCCCAAGCACGAAGGTCTCCCTCATGGTTCGGCTTTACACTAAGGGCCCGTAGCCCCTCTGACCCCTCTTCCCCTTTTCCTTTGCGGCCCGATTTCTCCCGGCCCGGTCCCGCTCAAAATATCCCAAGACTTTACTTACCTGCAGAATCCACACGAAAGCTAAGGCCGATACAATCCCCTATTGGGGTCAACACATAGCCCTTCCCGCATGCCTAATCTTTCATTTTCTTTGGCTTCTCATTGTTTTCCTTCCTTTGCTCAATCAATCCATCCTCTTCTCATAGTCATGCAGTCCAACTGACTTCGTCTTAAGTACCAACTTGGTCTAGTCCTTTTTCGCGCACTGGACTCCTCTCAATTGCTCACGTGTCTCTCCCTTTTCCTTCTCGGTGGCACAAGGGACCGACAACCCTTCCCTTGCCCACTTTCTCCGCCAAGTGAGGACAATTTTTTTTCACCGTTCGTCCCTGGCAATGTAACAAGTGAGTGGGGGGTGGGTTAGTTGTATGCCAAGTGGTGGAAGGGGGTAGAGGGTAGGATGAAGAGCGAGAAAATAGAGAAAGAAAAAGGAAGAGAAAGAGAGAGAGAGAGAGGAAGAAGGAAGAAGAGAGGGAGAAAGAGGGAGGGGTAGAGAAAGAGAGGAATCGATAGAAGGAGAAGGAAGAGGGGGAGAGAGAGAGAGAGAAAGAGTTCCTAGTCCTAATCAAACCGCCCTCCCGCAGTAGCAGCCAAGCGCCCGTCACCCAAGCGCCCGTCACCCAAGCGCCCGTCACCCATCCCCCAACAGTAGCTGCCAAATGCCGGTCACCCATCCCACAGTAGCAACAGCCAAGTGAGAACCGAAACACTACCAAGAACATACTTCACAAGATGAGAGTACGAGTAGTGAAAGCACAAGCACATGAGAAGTTGAACAGCCAAGTGAGAACCAGAACACTACCAAGAGTATGAACTTGACAAGATGAGAGTGAAAGCACAAACACATTGGAAGTTGATCAGCCAAGTGGGAATCGAAGGACTACCAAGTGCATCAACTTGACAAGATGAGAGTATGAGTAGTGAAAGCACAAGCACATGAGAAGTTGAA